GCCCTGGCCCCAGCCCCAGCCACGTCCCAGCGCTGGCTTCATGGGTGTGTGGTCTGGGGATGCCCTCGCGAGGCTGGGCTGGGGAGGGGCTGGGACTGGGGTGGGAAGGGTCCATGTGCCAGGCAGGGGAAGGGGCTGTGGCTGGGTATCGTGCATGGGGACAGGAAGGCAGTGGGGTAGCCCTGGGGACATTTTGCAGGGTTTCTGCCTGCTTGGGCATGCATTTCCAGCAAGAGGTGCTGGTTCAAAAGTCACTTGTTAGGGCCTCTCGTTGGAACCTATTAGCAGCAAATAAATATCATTTATCTTAACGGTGTGAGTGAGAACCCATTCACCTGTCAGGGCTGCAGGATTGATGCCGTGTCAATAGCACCGACGTGTTTGCTGCCAACCTGGCGCACCCCCCCCGTGCTGCGCCCAGCCTGTTGCTGCCTCGGGGCTGCACGCACGTGGGGACCGTGCGCCCCCCCACACCCCCTCTTCCTGGGGCTCGGCCCCTTCTCACTGACGGTGGGTGCCACACGAGGCCAGCAGCCCCCCGCTGTCCACGATGCCCAAGGGGCTCCCGCTGGCACGGGCACCCTGCTGGGGCCCGGCAGGCTGGTCGGTTGATCAGCCAAGAGCCAGCAAAATGCCAGCCGGGTACGAGCAAACAGAGCTGCTGTGTCCCGGGAGGAAATCGATAGGAGATAAGGTGCTGCCTGCACCGTCCGGCCATTAGCAGTGTGGCACGGAGGTGCTGCAACCCAAGGTACCCGCCCTGTGGCAGCAGGCAGTGCCGGTGGCTGAGCCCCCCTGAAGCCCCCACAGCACCGTGGCTCTGCGGCAGCCCCCAGCACCCTCCCACAAGGCATGGGGCTGCAGGCAGTCACCGCACGCCTGCCTGCATGGCCCTGAGGCCTGTGTTTGGCTTTGGGCCCTCTCAGCCCCCTCACTTTCACCACGTGCTGGGCTCTGCAAGGAGCCCTGACTGCTCTGCAGCCATTCCTGGGTGCCTGGGGAAGGCTGAGCCCCCCCCTCACCAGCCCCTGGGAAGTGTGTGGGGTGGGACGTAGCCCTTCCCCCGGCCACGCAGCCCCTTTGGTGCCGTGATGGGCCGGGGGGGCTCCATGGGACGTGGGTTCCCCCAGCCGCGCTGTGTGTGCACCGCGCGCCCCCCGGGGCAGTGCTGCGGCACCGCCACCATCCCTGCACGGAGCCGGCACTCGGCAGGAGCAGGCTCCGCACGGATGAAGTGCGGGGCTGCTGTTGAGATATTTTTTTGACATTTTCTAAGCTGCCCAGCGTGGCTGACAATTTTTAATGTACTAACTGCCTGGTCCAGTGAGCTGATTAATTGGTGCTGTGGAGATCAATACAAAACAGAAAATTAAAACAATTTTAAAGTGATTAAGTAGTTTAACACCTGTCTGATGCCACGTCAGGACCGGGAGACAAATAAAGCAGGTGGCAAAGGGCCTGCTGCAGCCGAGGAGAGAGACAAATCACAGCCACAGCCTGCCTGCCCCGTGCAGCTGGACGGGGCCGCAGGGCACCGCTCAGCCGGGGCCGCGGGGGCTGCCAGCACCGGCACACGGCTCCGCTCACCCGTTGGGGCCGCTCACAGCCACGCACGGCCCCCACGGGCACCGGGGGCTCGGCAGGACCTGGCCCGTGGTGCAGGCGAGCGCCGGCACCCCCAGGGCCCGCTCGTGGCCCTGGCTGGGGCCTGCTGTGGGGCCGGGCTTGGCGCCGAGCGGCACTCGGCCGCTGCTCAGGGGCGTGCGGCTGCGAGCGCGGGCAGGGCGGCCTGGCAGGCAGATGGATGGCAGCTCCGCTTCAATTCCGCATCCCTTTTCTCCCAGACAAACCCCGTCGGATTTTCATAAATCAAAGCGCCACACTGTTTAATAAAAATTTATTGACTTACAAGTGATTATTTATCAAAAGGCCATTAATAGCGGCTCCGGGAATGATGTGCTACTGGGTGGTGCGGGGAGACTAATAGCAAATCAATGCCAGCATCCGGGCAGAATGCATATGAGGGCCCCCGGCCCCAGCGGGCTGCATGGCTGCTGCAGCCAGAGCCGGCAGCCCCTACCCCGTGGGCCGCCCAGCGCTCCCCCTGGTTATTTATTGCTTACAAATGAAATGATCGATACTTTTAATCTAGAGCTAAATTTATTAACTTTCCCATCGGAGAGAGACATATTGACTGGGGGCATGGGGAGGGGGAGCCGAGGCAAGATGGATGCGTGCCTCCTAACCTGTCCGGCCGTGCAGCAGCCTGGCCGCGGGGATGGCCACAAGCACGGCAGTGGCTGGAGGCAGCTGGGGGCTGCGAGCTGGGGCAGGAGACCTGTGGGCACCTGCAGCCAGCTGCCAGCACGCAGGGGCTGCTGCAGGCGCTGGAGCACAGCCCCTGCCGGTTCACGCAGCGGTGGCTGCACGGCCAGAGCCGGTGCCCGACTTGGAGAGGACAGGAAGAGTGCAGGCGGGTGCATGGGAGCGGGCTGCTGGCTGGGGAAAGGCGAAGGAAAGCCCTGAGACCTTGCCCAGGTGGGGGCAGGCTGGGCAGCGATGTGCTGAGCCCAGTGCAGCTCAGCCCAGGGGCACCCAGAGAGCACAGTGCAGCCCGGAGCCTGCAGCGCTCTGGGTCTCGTGCACGCTCCAGAGCCGCTCAGGCCAGGGCACGGTGCTGGGGTTTGGGCCAAGTGGGCCCTGGGGCAGGGAAAAGCTTTGCGAGCCCTGGGGCCAGAGCAGCAGCACTCATCTGGGCAGGGCTGGGACTGGGGCTGGGGCTGGTCAGAGGCTACCATGGCAGCCACGAGGCTGGCAGCAACCTTTTGGGCATGGATCTGACTCTAGCAGGAACCGGAGCAAATACAGATAGCGAAGTGTTGTGGTTAAATGGTACAGGAGAGTGCTACAGGACAGCACAGCCCCCCTTGGGAACCGAAGCGTAGCTCCCCCAGCATGTATGTTATAGCCACCAGTTCTCATACATCTAAAAGTTGGTGATCAAACACTGCCTGCCAACAAAAACTGACAAGAAAGGTTACTTTCTTTATTTATTTCTTTTTAAGTAGCAAAGCAATAGCCCCATCAGCTAAGAAATACGGATGGAGGACTGGTGAACGACTGCTAAGGGTGAGTCTGGTAAACTAAACTACTGGTGAATAGCTCCTTACCACCACTATGAACTCCTGCAGGAAGGGCCTCAGGTACCTATTAGCAAGCTGTTACCTTGTCTTCCTTTGGTAGTACAAGAGCAAAAGCAATTAATTTCAACCCTGTAGATGCTGCTAACTGTCCACTGCTTGGCTTCAGCTGCTTTTGTTTTAATATCTTTGGTGGAAATGGAAATAAACCAGACTTTCTTCATTTTATTTTTTTCTTCCCTTACACCAGTTGCCATATCCGACTTTAGACAGAAGAGAATATGAAATTGGGGCAATAATGAAAAGCCTGGGGCCAATAAAGGTGTCTCCATCAGCAAATGAGAAGAGTGTGGTTTCTACTGGTGATGCTGGTGTTAATGGGGATCATGTGTAACAGATCACTGATAACTGAAACCCACGTTTATTCATGGAATGTGTCTGTGTGCATGTTTATGCAGGATCATGTTTTGATCACTGCAAGAAGCAAAGGTGAATCCGTTTGGTACAGAAATATTTCCCGTAATTACATTTTAATAGATCATATGCTGTTAAGTGTAGTTTTACATCATTGGAAGAAGGACTGTCTCCTCTCAGGTATTGTACTGAGAAGATTTTATGATATCTGTGCATAAGTTCATGGTCCTAGGACAGCTGAAAAATAGCACATGGGGGAAAGTAGGGTTTCTCTTATGGGGACACCCCGTGCTTCAGGCATACCCTGCTTGCACAGGTCAAGATCCCCTAACTGACCCAAAATAATAGTTTCAAACACAGTAACACAAAGCTGGAAGGTGGCACACAACTGAGTAACGGGAGGGTGGCACACAACTGAGTAACGGGAGGCACAGTATGTTTCGGGAAAGGTTAGGGGAATTCGTGTTTCTTTCTCTTGCTTTCTTTTCTCTGCCTCTTTCTTGATATAAAAACAAGCAGAAAGGAAACTACCTTGAATCCATAGCGGGAGCTTGTTCAGAGAAACTTTTATTTAAGGACTCTCACCACAGGATGGCTGTCCTGACCTGCAAGGCGTCAGCTGCCCTTGCTCAGCAACCGCCCCTCAGGGCGCAAAGGAGGATTTTGAGATCACCTCCTCTAATGCTCTAGCAACTGCAAGTGGGCTTCTGGGGGTAGCAGTGAAACAGCGTGTAAGAGCAGGCAGAGCACCCAACTAAAGTGCTAAAGTTTGTAGGACCATACGGATAACTGGAAAGTACACAGGATAAATGCTCAAATACTAGTTGCTTTACTGAATAATACATTCACGGAGCTGGAAAGGGTACCACCTCCAGAACAAGATTTCTACTTCCTTGCAACAAACCAAATCTATAAACATGCAAGTTGGTGCACATCACGACCAGATCTCAACATCTTCCTTGGGAGATGTTTGAAAGGGGATCTCCTGCCCCAGCTAGGGAGCCTCCTGCCCACCCTGGGCTCCCACCACAGCACACACAGATTTATTAGGAGCCTGCATCAGCAACAACTGCCTGGCGGCTTGTAGGGGACAGGTGGAGGCTTCCAAGGAGGATGATCCTCACCGCTGGAGCAACCCCAGCAAAGAGGCTGTTACTCAGATGCTGAAGAAGCAGTGGTCAGGTAATGGCAGGAGGGTAGCAAAAGGAAGAGGAAAGGTTTCTCCTTGTGAAGGTAAAGCTGGAAATGGTGAGACCACATACTGGTTCCATGGGTTTTGTGCCATGGACAGGAGAGGCACAGGCTCATAAGAACCGTTTGGTTGTCAAGGCAGCTAATCTCAGTGCAGCTCACCAGTTTCTGTGCTGTGGGAGACTTGTGACTGACACACATGCACATCAACACACCAGCCCTCCCCCAAGCCTGTGAACACCACATGGAAGCATATGACACCAGAAGTGTTTCATTTAATATTGCCCCTGCAAGGGGCTTCACTGTAACAGTAACAAGAAGGCATCTTTGCCAAGAGCTGCCCAGGGCGAGAAGACTCTGGGCAATAACAGTGCCCCCGGGAAAAAGCCAGAGAATTAACAAGCAAGTCCAAGCAGCTCTGGAGCAGCCAAAGTCCAAACACAGAGAGCTGCTTCAGACAAGCCCTGGCTCGTGCTGGAGGCAGAGGGCTCTGACCGGGCCCAGTATCAGTGCTGGAGGCAGAGGGCTCAGGAGCGGCTCCGGTCTTCATGGTTGCCTACAATCATTTTGCTGTAGAGTTTCTGTTGCTCCTCCTTGAACGTATCTTTCACCTTCTCCCTCTTCAGACCTCCATCCCTGTGAAGAGAGTCATACGCTCAGTGGAGCTACAGGTGTGCACTGACACCTCCGTTGGGGCTTCTCAGAGCAGCAGGTCCCACACCGGCCGGACAGCTGCACTTGTACCTCGGGCTGCCAAGACACACTGCAGGCTGACTGTCCCCAAGGGGAGTTTCTTTCACACCTTGCTTTGCCAGGAGTGGCACCCATGGCGCTGCACAGGGCTCTACATGGCAGCTCTGTCAGTGTGAGGTGCTCTGAAACCAGCACAGCGCCTGCAGAGGCCCTCCACCTCTGAGGCTCTGACGATCTTAGTGCCTGACAAGAGAGGTTCTCAAGATCCACCTGTTTTGCTAGCAGCATCAAGAAGAACAAGGGCATCTAAGTGCAAGCCAGAATCATAGAATGAAGCTCTGGTGACCAGCACACACAGAAGAAGGAAAGATTTGGGTCCTGACTACAGAGCAGCAGTTTTGGAGATGTATCTCCATTTCTCCATAGGCCTAATCTGCCCAATGCAAGAAACGAACTTAGCTCTGCAGCCCACACACACTTACCAGGACCCAGGAGCAAGGAACCCTAGCACCAGGAAGAGAAAAGCCTGCCTGGACTCACCAGAGCAGATCCACAAGGCCTCCCTGCCTGGCAATGGCTGACTTCACTCGATTGGCAAACTGGACAGCGTCCTCTTCAGGCTGTGGGAAAATGACACCATGCAGCAGAAGAAAAGGGCAGCCCTGCAGTGGATCGGGTAGGGCAGGCTCAGCTGACTTACCTGCCTGGTCATCGGGGGCAAGTACCAGACACTGCAGACAATGGCCCAGCTGGTCATCATCCTGAGGAGGTAGGTTACCATGCCGTATTTGCTGCTGTTCCAAAAGGCATCTCCAAACTGTGGATCGTACTACAGAGGCAGTTCATGAAAGTCAGGCAGAGGATGTGCCCTCCCTGAGGCTCCGAGTTCTCCCCAAAGCCCAGCTGTAGGCCAGCCCTCCCCAGCGCACCACATGAAGTAACTTGTGTCCCCACGCCCTCAGACCAGGCTACTGACCCATGAGTGCCAAGTCTGAGCCACTATGACTCAGCTCTCATGCAGAGGGCTACTTCTGCTGTAAGAATGTTTGCTTTCTCATACCTTGATGGCTACAGGGTAAACCGTGGCCCCAATTTCAAAGCTCCCCTTTTTGAACATCATCACAGACGTGTTGTTGATGCAGGTTCCTGTTAAAGGCAAGCACAATCTTCTCAACTTCCCCTTGCAAAGTCAGTTCAGGGGTCTAAGCTATACACCTACAGGCATCCAGCAGCTGACCCCTAACACTCACTCCAAACCCTGCTCTCTGGGTGCACAGGAGGTGCAGCATCACTAAGACATCATATATGACTTCTGCATTCCGGGCTCAGTTAGTTCTAAAATTATAATGCTCCTTTTGCCTCACTGAAGGCTCTCAAGGCCCTTGGCTGCACAAGCAAGGAAGTCACATAACCAGGGTGCTGTCCCCGCACGCCCTCTCCACCAGGGGCTTCTCTCCATGACTCACCTTCTGGAAAGATAAGAATAGGCAGTTTGCTCTTGTCCTGGACGTGCTCTGTAAGCCTAAACAGAAGAGTGTCACCAATTAGCACATGGCACAGGGGCTGTCCTAGCAACCCATACAGCACACAGCGCTTATCCTTCAGTCACCAAGGACTATCTGGATGCCAGTGACACTGCCACACTCTCCCAACACCCACGAGGAGAGGCAGTGTCCTCACCCAAGGGAAGAGGGCAGCCCCCTGTCTTTCCCAGCCTCCAGACCTCTCCCTGCAGCTAGCAACTGTCACACCTTTTGGCGACGAGGTGACGGTCTTTGACCTCTGAGCGTTCAAACCAGACGTGGGGGCAAGCCTTCACCATGGCTCTCTGTATCACACCCATCAGCCCGCCGTGGATTTGACCCACCTGAACAGCACGAGAAGACACAAGTTACAAGACCTGGGCACACTTGAAGGCCAAGGCAGCTCCTACAGCTTCGCAGCCAAGCTGAGGTTCATCTTTCCACCCCTGTCCCGGTAAGGCTGAGAGGCTCTGACTGGAAAGATGCGGCAAGCCCCAGGGTGGCCAAGCTGAGGATGTAGCTTGCTCTTCCATAGAGAGCAAAGCCAAGAACTCTCCTTGCAAAGCAGTGGCCAGAATGCCTTGGTGCTCTGAATTCCAGGCAAACTTGCTGGAAAGCAATGCAACAGGGTATCAGTGCACAGGGTCTGAGAGTTCATGCAGTTCTGCGTGTGCAAAAGCCTCTTTCTGCCCACAACTTGCCCCATGCAATATACTTGCTGCTCCAAAAATACATCTGGCCAGGCCTCAGCAGGCAGAGCTGGGGCACAGACCTTACCATTGCATAGTAGCCATCGCTGGCAAGGATGATCACGTCAATGGGGGATGTGTGATTGGCCACGCAGATGCCTCCGTTTCGGGGTCTGTTTTCTCTAAATGCAAAACAAAGACACAGATGAGGGCAGAGGAACAAAGAGGGAGGCCTGCAAGAGGCACAGCACGGAGCGGCTGGAGGGGAAGGACGGTCTGCAGCAGGCAGCGCTTCCTTACCGGTCGTGGTAGGTGATGATGGCTGTGAGGGCACGCACGCAGATCCGGTAGCACATCAGGTGAACGTGCTTGCTGAGGAACTCTTTACACCTGCGGCCCAGAACAGAAACTATCACCCCCAGCTCCCTGTGATGGTGCCACTTGGCCCAGCTGGCTCAGGCCATGAGATCCAACTGCAGAAACATATCTCCCGCTGGGGTTTGCTGTCAGCATATGACCACTGACTGATAATGCCCACGAAGCACGCTTAGGCCTTCGTTCTCTTCTGGTTTTATTCTGTTCAGAGCCCAGGGCTGAGAGACCCACCAAGGGGCTTAATGTTCGTATTTAGGTCCTTTGTTTAAAATTACAGGGTGTCTGTTCCTGACAGGCTACAGATGCCAGGACTCTGCGCCTCGCCTGCAGCAGGCAGAACAGCCAGGCCTTTCAAGAAACATTCTGGATCACTGGGTCTCAAATGGCCCACGGAGCTGCCCCATCCCTTCTTCTCTCCAAGACCAACTCACCTTCCATTTGGCAAATATCCCACGACTGTAGTGCCAGTCACCAACAAACTGATGCCAGTAAACGCCAGGGCTATCCTGCAGAAAGAGGGAAGTTGCATGCTAGCAAAGCCAGGCCACAGGCCCTGCACAGCACCTGCCCGTCCCTCCTGATCGTGCTGACCAGGGTCCACGGGACTTGAGGACCAGCTGCACCTGCTGCAGCAGCGACAGCCCGCAGCACCACCTCACGGGCACGCTGCACAGCAGCACTCACCTGAGGGGCAGCAGGAAGCAGTAGCGGATGAGAACACCCAGTCCCCAGAGAACAGTGAGGCGCAGGCTGATGTAATGGAAGTTGTAGTTGGTCCTGCTGAGCAGATTCCAGGACTCCAGCTCTTCAGCTGAAAACCTCTTGGTCACTTCATCATCCATGATGGTCTCGATGCCTTTGCGGCAGAAATAGAAGATATCTGAGAGCTCAAACTCAGGGGTGTCCAGGGCTTTGCCACTGCCACTCCGGCGGATCTCCTTGATCTCCTCTTCCAGAGATGTTGGCTCTTTCGCAATGATACCTGTAAGAGGCCACGGGCAGCTGAGCAAAGCTCAAAGACAGCTGAAAGCCAGGGTTTCCCTTCCCTCCTCCAGCCCAGCCAGGAACAAACCAGTCCTCCCAGCTACCTAGACATGAAGCAAGCTCTAGGTGCCTCATGCACCTGATCTCTCCACAGCCACCCCGCTGCTCCACCTGCAGGGACAGGGTTTCCCACCCTACCTCGGCTGCTCACAGACACATTTACCACAGCTCCCATACAGAAATTTGAACTTGGTGTGTACCCACACGGGGCACGATCTTACCATTGACATAGGGCTTGTATAACGGGTGGTTCTTCTCCTTGGCACCACGCTCTATTCTCAGTGTTGCCCACTGCAAGAGACACACATGGCAATCAAGACTGCCAAAGCCTGCAGCTCCCCTTCAGAATGCCCGTTTTCCAGTTGGCTTTCAGGGAAGACCACGGGTAAGGGGAAAAGAGGAGATGAAGGCAGAAGGCTTCTGTACAGAACTGAATGAGAGTCATGAACACGCAACCGAACTGAGGGAGAAGCAGAGACTGGGGTGGAAAGAAAGTTCCCAGAGCAGATATTTGTCTGCAGTGGGGCAAGAGGACTGCTGGGGAGGTGAGCAGCACCTAGGAAAGCCTTAACATGCACACACGAGCGTGCCATTCTACACAGCAGAGCCCCAGCAAAGAGTGAGCACCAGCAGATGGAAGAGTGCTCAGTGGTGAGATGGCACAGCAGGATTTTCTGCAGCCCCTGTCCTGCAGGCTCTGCCGTAGCTTGCACGTGGCTGCCACTGCCCAGCCTCCAGGGGGCCCTGCAGCCCGCAGGCCCTCGTGCTGGGGCAGGACGTGGCAGGGCTCCGGAAGCAGGTCACGGGACTGGCACTATTTTCCAGTCCTGATTTCCTCCAAACTCAAAGCAGACAACGTGTTTTCAGGTTGCTGCTGTACACATCAGGCCAGTCGCACGAGGGCAGGAGATCCTTGCCTCCCTCCCCAGTTCAGCTATCAGCTGCTACTGCTTCTCAGGCCAAAAGAGCAGCAGCAGACACCTCAGACAGTGCTCCCACAGCCACATCCCATGCCCAGACTGCTTGGCACCCACGGAAATCTCTTTTCTCAGCTGCTTCTCAAGGGAACCAGGAAAAACTGCAGGCTGGATTTCTGACCAGCCCTCCTGCCTGCCCTCCAAATACCCAGCCCAGTGTCACTCCTGCATTAGACAAGCCTGGGAGAGGCTCACGAAGGCAAACTTGTGCAACGCGCTCATTGCTCCAAGGCAGCTGCTCTGTCAGGGACCTGTGAAGGAGCAGAAGCTGCTGGGAACTGCACGGTTCCCAGCCTCAGCCCCAACACCACCAGATGAGAGGCAGTGATGCGGGAATACTAATTGTGGGTGAGGAGTCTAGCTCATTCAGCAGCTTCCTCTGCCGGCAGAAGGAACTGCAGGACTGCAGAAGATTGCCCAAAAGCTGCCATCCCAGGAGAAGTCAGAAGAGGAGCTCTGACCCAGCAGGAGCTGGGAAGCCTGAGAAGAAGGCGCTCCTGGCTAGCCCAGCACATCTCCCTCTGGACAGAGACCGTGGTGGCAGAAAACCCAGACGGACACCCAGGGAGCACCAAGCAAGTCCCCTCAGCACCAGCTCAGGTGTGTGGCTGCCACCCCAGGCCCCAGCACCCTGGGTGGGCCCCGCAAGTTGCCAGACTCAGGTTTGCAACACTGGCCTTGAGAGTCCGGAAAATATTTCTTGTGAATAATGCTCCCCAGGCATACACATCCCAGTGACCAGCCCCAGTCGCTGAGTTTTCCATCAATCTGTGGGCAGTTCTGCCAGAGTGCTCTTCTCTCCCACTACAAAGATCCTTTGATAAAAGCTGAAGTAGATTTCAAAGTCTTTTCAGAAAAACAGTTTCAAAATTGAACACCAAAACATGCGTTGAGAGTAAATGTTCCAGAACTGAATTAAAGAAAGGAAAGGAGAAAATAAAATAATAATAATAAAAAAAAAGGCCAGTGAAATGTTCCATTTTGGATAAAACAAAACTCTTCTGTATTTTTTCTCTCAGTTCAGTCACTAAGTTTGAAGCCAGGCTTTCAGACAGCTGTGTTAATGCAGCCCTGCACAACGCCCTGGGACTCCCACTCACGCACAGGGCTGCCCTCCCAAGTCCAGAGATCGTCCCAGGAGCAATCAGCCCTGCTCAGGCAGCAGCAGCACCACCAAACACTGCAGAGGTCTGAACTACACATGTAAGAGTCTGAAACTTCCCTGCTAAGCACAAGACAACCCTCTTCCTTTTCCCTGGGCTGGCAGCGTGGGGTGGTTTGGGTTTTATCTATTGGGAGTTTGACAAAAATTCTGGGTTCATCAGGGACTTGATTCAAGGAGAGGTTCTGGGTAAGATAGCTCAGAAAATAGGCCTGCAAAGGCAGGCAGGGAAACAGCATAACCCCATGCTGGAAAATTCCACTTGGCTTCTTGGTGTCCAGAGGGGCAGTCAGGGTTGCTGGGTGTCCTCAGGCTGCAGGTACAAATGTGGCTGCTGGGCTCGGCAGATAAGCAGGCGGTGCCCCAGGACAGAAAGGTCTTGAAAGTTCTGGGTTCTGGCCCCAGGACAGAAAGGTCTTGAAAGTTCTGGGTTCTGGCCGCAGACTGCTCAGGGTTCACAGCACACAAAGTCCCGCCTCGCTGCCTTTGCTTCATCCAAATGTACCAGAGATAAGCAGCCCACTGCCTGCAGCCCCGTCCCTCCCCACCATGCCCTACACCCCTTTTGGCTTCCTTCCACATCAAACTGCAGCAGCGCCCAGCCTCGTCTGGGATGTTAACCCCTCCGAGCACACGCCTCCTCCCAGCACATCTGCAGCTGCACAGGACGGCGGCACTATCTGCATACCGACTGCCTGCGCTGTCCTGCCCTACTACTTGTCTGAAGACTTCGTGGCTTAATTACAGGAAAAAAAAAGACCAGCCCGTGATCATTAGTCCAATAAATTGTGTTTGGCTGAGATGACTCCTGCGGGTCAGCTGGCAGCAGCGCGTCACCAGCAAACCAACCTCCCGCCCCAGCCACCTTCGGTGTTCTGCTGAGGGGCAAAAGCCTCTCCTCCCAGCACAACTGTGCTTGACGAGACCCCTGTAATTGCCCTCCAACACTCAAAATGTTGAGAACACGACTTACCTGAAAAATCTTTAATAATGTTTTCATGTAAACCTTGCGGATGCCAAAGGAGACTCCAAAAATTGCTGGCACAATGATGAAAACCAGAAGCAGAGTGAAGAGGACAGTTATGGAAATCCCCAAGAGATTAACGACCAGGCTGTCAAAGGGGAGCAGGAGGAACATGGTGAAGGGCCTAAGCAAGGCTGGTGCCCTGCGCCCCCACAGCCAGGCAGAAAGGCTGCCCACAGCAGTTAACCAGTCCTGCTATTATTCAGCAAAAGTCTTACACATGTACCGAGTCCGCAGCTGCTCACAGACCCCATTCCAAAGTTCACATCTTTTTTGGGCTCTGCAAGAGAGGGAATGCAACAGGATCAGGGAGAGCGGTTGGGAAAACAAGCAAACAGACTGCCAGGAGCCCCAGTGAGTTCAAACAGTGCAGGCTGAGGAGCTCAAAGGAGATGTAGCATACGAGCAAGTTCCTCCATGGGTCTGCAGCAAGTACTGGCGTGAAGCTGTGTGAACGGATCTCCCAAGGTGCTGCTGAGCAAGTTCCGCTGTGGGGCAGCTTGTGAAGACGCCAGCAGTAGAATTCCCCTCTGGCTGCCGAGAGTGTACAGTATCTCCTCACGGGGACAAGGTGGAGTCCATCCCTGAGTCTGCATTGGAGGAGATCGAGGGAGGTGGCACTTGCAGGAGCCTACTGAGCGTGGAGCTATTGCTGTTCTTTCCGCGAGGACGCAGGCACTGGCTCAGACCCTTGCATGACGCCTGTAACAAGTTTAATTCCAGAGGCCCTGCGCATCCACTCACATTGAAGGGTCGTAACAGACTCAAATGAAGCTCGTGTCCCTGGAAAACTCTTCAAACAGCGAGTTGGCTTCTTGGCAGACCAGGCACTCGCATGTCACCAGCACTAGCAGAGGAAAGAGAAACCGAAGTCAGGCAAGCCGCACAACTCCGAGAGACATCAACATGGAGAGGGTGGCGGGAGGCCAGGCACAGCGGGCTCTGAGCTGTCAGAGGCAGGGCTCAGGCTGAGGACACCTCACCCCGAGCAGCTCCTTGGGCACAGCGGACTCAGGCCGCCACTCCAGCTACTGCCTGGCACCGCCACAGATGTGCGTGCTGCACCTTCCTCCCATCCAAAGCCCAGCCTGAGCAGCTGCTAGAACCACCCTCAGAGCGCAGGATGTCAGCAGGCTCCGTAAGCAGCTCCCAAATACAGGAAAGGAGCCAATGGAGTGACAGAGGATTCCACGGAGCGCCAGCGACCTTACCGCCCCTCTCATGTCGCAGGAATCCCAGAGCAGGGAGCCAGCCGGGCCCCAGCTTCCTGGGCAGGAATCACTTCCTCTGCTCCCGTACACAGGTTCCTGGGGCGCGGCTCCCCCCCTGCTGCCTCACGGACAGTTCATGGCAGGAACTTAGCCCAAGGCAAGAATTACTGCGGATGATTAGCCACAGCGGAACGCGCTGGGGCACGGGGACCAGGCAAAGGTCAGCACCCGGCAGCAGGGCTCTCGGCAGGCGATGCCCCTGGCGCAGCGGGCACGTGGGAGGCCAACGCCGGCTGCTGGGAAGAGCCCAGGGGAGAACGCCCGGGGGACGCTGCCCTCGCCTGCCACCGGAGGGCACGGGCCTGGGCCCGAGGACGGGCACTTGGGAAGCGCAGGGGGGCAGGGGCCGGGCGGCCCCTCCGCTGCCCTCTGTTCCCCCGGGGAACGGAGCAGCCCCGCCCCGGCCCCAGGCACGCGGTGCCCGTACCGGACCGTACCGGCGGCTCCCCGGGGCGGGCAGCCCCGCCCCCCGCCGCCCCCCGTTCGGCCGCGGCCTCTGGGCCCACCCCGTACGGAGCCGGGGGCGGACGGCGCCTTACCCTTCACCCTTACCGGGGCCGGGAGTGGGGCCGGGCCGGGCCGGGCCTCCCCTCCCCTCCCCACACGCGGGGGCGCTGCGGCGCGGCCCGCAGCGGGCGGGGAGGCCGCGCTGCTGCCGGTTAACGGTCACAACGGCCCGCGGCCGGGCCTGGCCCCGCGCTACCGCCCCGCCCCGCCCCGCCCGCAGCGGGACCGGGCCCGAACCGAACCCAACGGACGCGGACGGACCCGCTCCGAGCCCTCCCCCCGCCCCCCCAACCCCGCTGGGCACCCACCTGCCGCCGCCGCCGCCGCCGGGCCCGGCCCCGCCCCCGCCACGTGCCGTGCGCGCCCCCGCCCCGCGCGATGACGCCACCGCGGGGCCGCGCACGCCGCCGGGCCCGCCCCGCCCCGCCCCGCCGCAGAGCCGCAGCCGCTCCAGCCCCCGCCGCCTTTATTGAGCCCGTCACAGCCCGGCCGCGCCGCGAACCCCCCCGGTGAGGCCCTGGGGCGGCAGCCCGGCCCCCCCGCCGTCCCCGCTGTCCACATCTCTCGCGGCGGCGCCTTCTGGGACCGCCGGGAGGCGCCCCCGGGCGCTGGGGCAGGGCCGGCTCTGAAGGTCCCGCGGAGGAGCTCACAAAGCGGCACCTGCCGCTGCCGGCCCCCGCGGCGAGCCCCGCACCACGGCGGGGACGGGGACGGGAAGGGACGGAGCTCCGCCTGTCCCCCCGCTGCTCCCCTACCAGTACGGGGCGCGAGGCTCCGAGCGCCGCCAGGGCTGCAGGTGAGAAAGGACAAGGGCGGCAGCCCGGGAGGTGCCAAGATGCTCCCGGGCCCCGTTGGCACTCTTCACGGCATGGGAGGGAGGGCGGATCGTGCCCACGTGGCAGATCCTGTAGTTCCTCCCGTGGTTGTTGTCCCAGTGGGTCTTCTGCCCACACTGAAAGGAGATGCAGAACTCCGTGGCCCTGCGGGAGCTGGAGGACTTAGGCAGCGAGAGCTCGAAGGAGAAGGTGTCTGTGTCAGCCGAGCCGTACGTGCTGTGCATGTACTGGCAGCAGATGTCTCGGAAGCTCTTCCAGCCATCAAAAGTGATGCGGACTGTGACTTTCTTCTCATATTCGATGTTTCTGACCTTCACTGTCCCTGACAGGGCACGGTCCTGGATCAGGCAGCTCTCCAGGCAGACCAGGTTGCTGTGCAGGCGGCTGCGGAAAGCCGCGTAGTCTGAAGAGGGCTGTGGGAAGTCCAGCACGTACCTGCAAACTTCTGGGCGTGAGTCCCGCAGCCTGGGTCGGAAGCAAGCGAGGTCTGACAGGGCGTGCTGCAAATCACAGAGGTCCTCCTCGATCTTTGAGAAGAAACGGACGGCTGTCAGCGAGAGCCCTTTCATATCGGCAAACACAACCCTCTTCTTCTTCTGGCTCTTGGAGCTCTTGGTGCTATCTCGCCGCTCAGGCTCGTGCTCCGCGCTCAGCTTCTGGTTGAGACAGGAGCGGAGGGGTTTGCGCGCCCGGCTGCCCCGCAGCTCCTCGTAGGAGGTCAGCAGCTTGCGGATGGGGGGCGAGTGGCCCAGGCAGAGCCGCACGGCCAGGTCCACGGGCATGGCCGGGGGGGCGACGGCCCGCGCGCTGTACACCTGGAAAAGCCTGGAGGTGAAGAAGGGGCAGGCGGTGAGCCCCGGCTGCCGGGCGGCAGGGCCCCGGCCCGCTCCCGGTCCCGCTCCCTCCCTCCCGCCCCCCCCGCGCTCACTCTCCGCAGCTCATCGCGCCCCGGCCCCGCCGCTCCCTCCGCCGCCGGCGCCGCGCGATGAATGGGGCCGTGGGAGCGCCCGCCGCCGGGACGCCGCGCGGCAGCCAATCGGCGCCGGGGACGCGCCCGCGAGCGACCAATGGCGGCTCGGGGCCGGCGAGGCCCCGCCCTCCCCCGCCCGGACCCGCGGGCCGAGCCCGGCCGCCCCCAGCCCCCGAGCACGGCGGGGCCCCGGGGAAGCGGCCCCGGAACGGCACCGCCCGGGGCAGCCGCGGGCCGAGCAGCGCTGCCCTCCCCTCCCCGCCCCTCGCACTGCCGCCTGCCCCTCTCTTTCCAGGGGGCTTTAGGGCAGCCGTTGCCGGGGCTTTCCCGGTCACAGGGAAGCCGAGCGGCCCGGACCCGCACGCCCCCAGCGCGGCAGCTTCCAGCCCCTGCTTCCTCGCCCTGCTAAAGGTGCCGTGGGGTGCCCGCCACTCGCATTCAGAGCCGCCCTCACCACTCAGCTCACATGTGGCTCCCTGACAGAAAGGACTGTCACCTAAATCAGATCACCCCTGCCCTGCGCTACCTGCTAATCGCCCCGGAGCTGTCTAGCCATTTAGGTTAAGCAGACCTGATTTTTCCTGCTGACAGCACAGATCTTGATCAGCTCATGACACAACCCATCTATCAATATCTATACACGGCTTCTCACCGCCACTGCCTGAACGTCTTCAGCACGGTGCAAGATGTCTCTCCCTGGATGAGCAGAAGTGAGCCTGAACTCTGTGCGTGGCCGGCAGGAATCTGCAGGTCAGCCCTGGCCTCGGTCAGCAAAAACATCAGCAAACAGCCGGAGCCAAAGCCGCGTGCTCCCCTGGAAGGACGTGTGGCACTGGGGTCACTGCGGGTCAGACACTCCTGCCTGGGGAGGAGCACGGCAGAGCCCTTTGCGGATAACCAGGAGCCAGATGCACTTGTCCGGCTGGGCCTGCAGGAGCCGTGTGGCGTTAATTCCTTGCTGGTACCAGCTCCCCAACCTGGCCAGCATCAGGACGGATTCATCTGATGGGCCTGTTAAGCCCATGCCTAGGCCAGAGAGCTCTGCTGTCAGCACACGCCTGCCATGCTGAGCCAGAAGCCTTGAGCTGAAGCCCTGGCTGGCAGCAGGGCTCAGGCCAGCCCTGGAAGCAGTGCTCCTTGTTTCTGAGGCTGGCCTCGGACACAGCAGGGTCACATCCTTCCCCAGAGGTCAGAAGGAAGACAGGCCATGCAATGGCTAACTCACGCCTGCAATGGCTAACTGTGGCTGCAACCACCCAAGTTACAAACCCAGGCAACATCTTCCCAAGGTCATGCCATTGAACGAACCCCTCTTCCCTGGAACTAATGGTTCTTCCTCATGGTCTCCTAATTTGTCTGCTTCTGAACCTTTCAACACTCAAAACATTCCCTGCAGAAGTTCCAGCTGTTTCCCACTGTGACTTTGTGTAGGCATTTATTCCTACTTACTAAAGAACGATCATCCTCACTGAATTACATGCTAGTGAGATCATTTTCCTGTAGATACCCTAGAAAAAAGAAACAATCACCTTTTTTTTTCTTGATGGCTTTCAGAGGAACAGCTCCCTTGCTACTAGCTCTAATACAGGCACCTCTCAATTCTACAAAAAACTCTGTCAAACAGCACAGCAACCTACAGCCACAGCGAACCAGGGCAGCAGCAGAGAAAGCTCACCAAAGTGCCAGGGATGGGTTCTTCACAAGGCTGGGGCCCCGGGGAAGACGGCCACCCTGCGCATGGCTGTGCTGGGCTGCGTACCAGAGGATTGCATTCGATCACACAGGTAAGCACACATACTGCAGGCAGTGAGTCAGTTCCCAGCAGTTTCTTCCCGAGAACCACCCTTTCATCACATCCTCTCAGGCTGACAGCGCGTATTCGACTTCAGTGACCTGGGGAAGTTGACACGGCCATGCAAGAGGCTTCCTGCTAATGAAAGCAATCGCTCCACCTTTCTCTTGCACTCGGGAGAGTAGATCCGGCTCAAGCTGGGAAATCACAGCTCACCACCAGTGCCCTCTCTGTGACCTCTTCCACCACCCACCTACTTTGCATTGAAAGCTAATCACCCAGTAAACCAAGCTACCTGCACCCTGGAAGGAACAGAGAACAGGGGCTATATTTCAGCCCAGCAGCGGACTGTGGAGCAGCTGTTCCCTCTCAGTACATTCTCATCACAGGCACAGATTAATGTGGACTGACCACCAAGTCTTTTCTCCATCTAGAAGTACAAGCCAAAAGCACCTCTTCATCGACAATGTTGCAGATGTTTCCCCTCCCCCAACACGGACGAGGAAACAGAAGCACTGTGTTGCGCTGCGACAGCATCCAGTCCCAGAAGTGTCCAGGTACTTGTTTACGGAAGGACACAGCGAGCAGACAGCAGCACTTTCAGGTGCTGCTAAACTTAACCTGTTAGCCTGACTGATCCCAACCTATGAGCCATGTTCAAAAATCCTGCACAGCCTGTGACGATGCTGCCACGTACCAGCTTTCACACTCCAGAAAGGAGCTGTGCTGCAGGCACTCTAGGAAAAATCAGCTCTGGTGGAGATTTGGCTGCTAGAAGAGGGCAGGGGCCCCTTTCACTCACACTGCTGCAGCCACGTGCTGCCCGGACAACTGTTCAGTCAAACATAATAGGGCCAAGGAGAAAGTCTGCCAGACAGGCCACTAGACGTTCTCCAAGCAGCTCTTCCCGAGCATGTTTTGCAGCAGCAGATTAACAATGACTTTGAACAGGAGCTCGGTCACCTCTGTGAAGCTGCCTGGGCTGTAGGAACGGGCAGGGTGCAATCCAAAGCCCTTTCCTGGGGGCTGCACAGAGGTATGCACTACTGATTCCTAAGGATTAAACCCAGCTTCCTCTTAACGTCTGTACTTAAAAGAATCTTCTTTACCTAAATGGATTCATTAGGAACACTATAAAGCACACATGCAAAGCCACTCACACTACAAGATGCACTGTGTCACACCCTGCCTGGCAGAGAAAGGGCAGTGTCGGAGGAGCACCAGCCTGCTCCCCACAGAGCATGATGCAGGGAAGACCCCGAGCTGAAGGAAAATGAGCCACAGTCTGCTCATGCACTTGGCAGGCACTGGGCTGCGTAGCAGGGGACTAGGAGAGGCACGCAAGGGTCAGCAGGGCAGGAGGAGTTTTTGCTCTGTGTGACCAGCACCAAGGAATTGCGCAACTCCCCTTCCCCAGCAGCTGTTTCAGCAGAAGGCAGCTTGACAGCTTCTACCCTCACAAATGCACACAGCAGCTGCAGCAGAACTCCACACTTTCTGGAGGGAGACTCTTCAGATTCAGAGCGCACACAGCAGAAAGCTGCTTTCACCTGACCCCATCGTTACAGTGACTCCATTTTAGTGAAACTGATCACCACTGTTCTCAAATGAGGTGTCCTGGCAGAACACGTCCTCTGCCGTGTAACTCTGCAGCACCTGGTTCTAGAGATCCACATTTCCCTGTACAGGGAGCCGAATGCTCTGCTGCAGAACTCAGATACAGAGTGCTAGCCTTAGAGGAAGCAACATGAACACACAACGCATAGCTGGTGAGGCAAAACCAACACTGCTTCTGTTCTCACCCTGCAACAAGAGACTGCTTGGGAAAGCTCCGCCAGACCTGTGCTGCAGAATTCTTCTGAACACGACAGCACCACAAGCTTACAGAATCCTTCAGTTCTTCCAGTGCTCAGCTGCTGGTTGTGCAGTCCATCCTGTACCAAGGGCCTTACTTGTCCTGAAGTTCACTGAGAAAGGCAGCCTTGAGCTTGAGGATTAACTAACAGCGGTGTAATCTCCCTGAAGTCTGTCGGCCCAAAGGAGGAGGTCAGAAAAGGCCAGAAAAGCAGGAAGGCCTCTCATCCCCCCTTGCTGGACTTGATCAACAAGGATTTCAAGAGGTGAAACAGCAGCACTTCAGTCTTCGGCACAGGAGCTACTTTGGTGCTGGCTTTGAGCAAAGCCTGTGCACGTAGCAAAACAGTGAATGGAGCAAAATGAAAATTTTACACGGGCAGCATCGAGACCCGGTGAGCATGAACCAGTTGCTCTGGTTAAAGAGCTCTGTGACAAGTGTTCAAAGACTGCCTGATATTTCCAGAGCTTCCATCAGGATTGCACCAATCGCAACCTCAGAGAAAAGACAAAAGCCCAAGGCTCCTGTAGACACTCCTTCCAAATCCAGGCCTACTCTGCAGGCAAATCTCAGATACCTGTAATGGCAAGGGTGGATATTTTAAGAGAATAGTGCTATTGTTACCAAAATGCCCGGATAAATCAGTGTAATCAACCACGTCAGAAGGGGGCTTGTGGATGAGTGTCCACCCTGGGACACAAGCTGCATGGGACTTTCCAAGGAAGGACAGACTTGCTGTTTGGCCTTCAGAACTATCCTTCAGAGGAGAGAGACTCACTGAATTCCTAAGTTCGTCAGTGTCTGCCAGCCAGTATTTTCAAAAAGACCACATAAAAACAGTCGGTAAACTCCGTAACCTCCCTTCCCACTGCAGATAACAAGCTAATGCTAAGCACCCCTCACATGATCCTGTGGCTGTCCCCTGCCTGCCCGTGACATTCTGTTTGCTCTGCCTGAGCTTCAGTTTTATCCTTAACTTGTTCCCAATCCTTCCTGCTCGCTGTGTGATAATCAAGATTTGCTCTGCCAGCAAATACCTTCACGTGTGGTGTTCTTTTGCTCAAGGGATCATGTGGCAAAGGTGGTGCAGAAGTATTCCCCCCAGTTCACCTCAGAGCAATCGGGCACTTGCACAACACCCAGGGTTGCACAGACCCTGTGAAAAGATCAAAGCCAATGGGGGAAGGTGGAGTTTACACAACTGGTTACCACACCATTTGGTCAGCCAGTTCCCACCTGATAGCCTAAATTCAAAGAACAGTGCTAAACTGGGGCACGGATGAACACACAGAGGTTTTACGATGTGAGTTTAAAACAAAGGGCATCCTGGGATTTACAAAGGCATTATTTACCTTTGAGGACAGATGTTCTCTGTCCACATCTGCTGTCAGACCAGCCCGAAATCTGGAAAGACAGCACCTACACTTGTCCCTCCCTTGGGACTCGAGGGATCGTGGCAAGGCTCCGCCAAAGCCTCGTTGGAAGGAGTGCTGTGACACAGACCGCCCTTGCTCAGCAGCTCTGGGCAAAAGGAGCCCGGGTGTACCGTAAGCAATTAAGAGTTTGATTAACTGTGGGGACAACGAGCCCCTCCGCGTCTGTAGATGGAAGACGTCTTGCTGGTCTACTTGGCTGCTCCCAAACCACGGTCCCACCGCGCCGTCCCGGCGCCACCTGCCGGCCCTGGCTCAGCACCTACCTGGCTCGGCTCCCAGCGCCGCTCAGATGAGCTGCACTGCTCCCGAGGCCACCAGCGGGGCGATGGTCTTGTAGCGGATCAGGTGTTGCGAGCCCTCCTCCAGATCGATGGTGTACTCCCTGCAAGAGGCAGGCGTGGCGTTAAGCTGCTGCTCCTCGGTCGCTGCGTTTGGAATCCTGCCCACAGCGCCTGCAGGAGGACCCCCTACCTCTGCTCATCAGTCTCCGGCTCGACCAGGATGTTCTCCTGCCTCTCCAGCACCCTCAAGAAGACGAAGGAATCCAGGTTGGGCTTTGGGACTGTGGAAACAGTGGGTTCAGAGTACAGACTCAGCACTCACTCGTGTTCCTCTGCAGGATGCTCAGCTCAGAAAGGGGCAATGGGGACAACAAGCACAAGGCCAATAAAGGGAACGCTAGACAATGCTGACCAGGGGTAAGGCGCACTGCTTCCATTTAAGACAACGCTGGATTGCAGTGGTCAGCACATGCTCTGAGAGAAGCACGAAGGGACAGCAGCATTAAGCCATGTACTACACAGCAGAGCAATGTGAGGATACTATCACCAAACAATGTTTGTTTCTACTGAGCACCAGCTAAAAATGTAGTTCTTAACACTGCATGCTCCCCAGAGCTTTCCCCACACCTCTTTTGCTATGATTTGCTGGGACTGTCCTAGAGTCTGGCTGTACTCACCTGATTTTAAGAGGGACACTTTCTGCAGGTTGGGTGGCATGTGCTTTAGGGCCACATTTTTCAGGTAAGTCTCTGTGTTTGCCATGTACCTGGAAAAAAAAAAAACAAACAAACATCAGAACATCTGTTGATTAAGTCAAATGCAAATTTCCCTAGAAAGCATTGATTCAAAAATGCCAAGAGGTGACATCTCCTGGTCCTGTGATTGCTAGCAACTGGCTGACAGTAACTGGCTCAGATGCCAAACACAGTGCGGACTCAGAATTATTTCATTCCAGCTCTCTCCTTGCCCATAAGGAAAGCTCCTGGTAAAACTGAACTCTACTGCAACCCTGCCTAAAGCCGGCACTCTGCAGAACTGTTCAGCGAAACACAAGGATGAGTCCTGTAACCCGTGCAAAAGGAGGGAGATGCATGCAAAACCTACTCACTCTTTAGCAAAGGCAAATTCTTCTGGGGATAGAATAGAAGGCTCCCCTTCAGCTCGAGACTTCTCCTTCTCCAGGACATGGGGAAAAAACTTCTCTATCTGGTATTGAAAGAAAAATCCCAAAGAGTAAGACACAGCTCGCCTAGAAGCTGGGTGACTACAATCCCCACCCTTCAGATGCTTCCCCTGCAGGGAGTCACCTGCTCCTGAACAGCAGACAAACCTGACCAAAGACCTGCTTCTGAAGTGACAGCACGGTCAGCTGGGGTCTCCATGCGGCACAGGCACGTGTGTACATGGCAGGACCCAGGCAGAACACACAAACATTTAATTGTGCTGTCCCGGGCTTAGATGCAGCGATGGAACACCACAGCAATGCTGGGATTCTCCTTCACAACAGAGAAGCGAGCCCAAGGAATGAAACGTTTTGGGTTGCACCCAGGATGAAAGAGAGCGAGCTTTAAAGAAGTGTCTCACTGCAGCAGGCGGGGTTTTATGGGTGAGAATCGCTCCTGAAGTCGCCCTTCCCTATCCCCTCTGCAGCACAAGGCGTCACCTTCACAAGCCTACATCGCAGGTAGCTGCTGAGCACGTAGCGGATCCTTTCGATCTCCATGCGGTGCACGCTGACCTTTAAGTCTCCTGCCTTTGCCCGTTTCAGGTTTGACTCCTTAAAGAAAAACAAACAGACAAACCTCAAAAGCTTCAAATACCAAGCAAGGCGCAGCGCGTGAGGTCTTCCTGCACACAGGGGCACCAAACCCGCCCGCGGCTCCCTCCGGTGCCCCCCTGCAGCCCCCAGCCCGGGGCACGGAGCCGGGGCGCCCCCAGGGGTGCCGGGGCCCCGTTCGCCGGCCCTACCATGTGGTCCAGCTGCTCCACCACGCACTCCACGATCTCGGCCTTGCTCTCCAGCAGCTCCGGGGCGAACTTCTCGTTCAGCCAGGCCTGCGGGACGCAGGCGGTGAGCGGCGGCGGCGGCACCGCGCCCGCCCCGCGCCCCAAAAAACGGCCATAACGGGACCCCCCCCCCCAGCCCCGGGGCTCGGCCCCCGGCCCCGCTACCTGCTCCAGGCTGCGGATGAGCTGTGCCGGGGTGAGCTCCAGCTCCTCGCCGGCCGCCTCAGGGCCCGGCTCCTCGCCGCCCGCCGCCGCCATCCCAGCGCGGCCCCGAGCGCACGCGCGGCCCGGCCCCGGGCGGCCCCGCCACAGCCGCGAGATGGCGGCGGCGGCTCCCGGCCCAACCCCCCCCCCCTCCCGGGCCCCTAAAACCCAGCGCCGCCAACCACGACACGGACACAGTTTAAGAAAAGATTTACTCATCCGTCCGGACTTCTGCCAATATCACAACAGATGTGAAAGGCCAACAGGTACAGTTTTAGAAAAAAAAAAAAAAAAAAGAACACGTTTTATACAATTAAAATATGAAACGAATCTCAAAAAAAAAAAATCAGTGGCTGAGTAATAAGCCTGGAATTTCAGATCCAGTATTAGCACCTACAGTACCACCGGAAGCCGAAACACTCGCTATTTCTGTGGAATTTTTCCATTTCTAAATTCAAGAATTTCTTCCCCGATCAGACAGTGGTGCTCAGCACCAGGACATCCTTGCTTTGACAACAGAAAAGGATACAAGAGAGAAGTATCAAGCCAACCCAGTTTGTAAGAACTTAACTTTAGCAGGTATTGCTGAGGAATGTCAATGCACAGGAGATGCTAAATAATGCACAGCGCTACTCTTCCATAGCGTCAGCAGACAGAGTTAAGACACCATCTTATACAACATCTAAGTTCATCAAATCAGTGTTTTCCTATAAATTATATATAATAAATCCATAAAGAAACAGTTTTACACTTCACATATTAATCAGAGTAGGGTAGGAACTGTTTATTGGTTCAGCATCCATTTTATCATACTTACTGTTCTATGCGTGAACAGACCCCCTCTCCTGATGAGCACTGAGAGATGCAATAGCAACATACACACAGTAGTAGAAAAAACATCAGTATTAAAGTCCAGCTATTCCTCCCCCTTCTAGGAACAACCAAAACACTAAAACAAGAAACACTTTGCCTTCTAGTTTTCCACGAGAATCAGCATGGGAAGATTAAAATGCTTGTTGCCTTGAGCCAGTTCTCTCCAGGCAGAGGCACTGCATATCCCCTCACTGCAGCACTGAGCAGGAGGGAAGGCCTTGTTTCTGGAAAATTCCCAACTCTGACTTGTAGCTTTCCAAAGCCCGACTGATGTACACGAAGGTTTAACAACTAGGGAGGACCAGCACTGCACTCACGTGACTAAAACTAGACTTCTGTTGGGACAAGCGCCTGGTTTCTTTCAGCAGAGAACGCAGCTTTATCACCTCTTTTTCTTGAAAAAACTAAGAAATAAACTCATTGCTTAAAATTGGCCACAAAATGGATGCTGACCAGCTGGGCCACCCCATGTGGAACAGAGTTTTAGGAAGTTAGTCCTTGTAGTAGATGGCACTGTGGATCTGGCAGCAGAGAGAAGAATGATGCTCTAAAGTAGGAGGTAGGGGAACTTTGATACAGCAAGTCCACTGTTGAGCTATCTGCTAGAAAAGAAGTTTAATATTATTAGAAACTTTTAGAAAAAGGCATACAAACCTTTACACAGATATTGTGTTTTCTTAGAAGGTACACAGCAAGAAAACCAGGCTATGCAATAGAATATAGAAGCTCACCTATCTGCTTGGAACCAAGAAGGTAAAATGCAATTACTCATATTGATTTGTTCAGGTTTCTAGGGCTAATAATAACAACTCCTAGGCAAAACACCTTGGTTTCACAAGTGCTGGAAACACAGCAGCTTTTAAAGTAGAGCTTGCTACAAGGCATCTCTAACAACAGGAAGAGTTCTATCTTTCACAGCATTAAAGGAAGAGCAGTTGCTATTATAGCACCATCAATGATTTCTCTTGAATATTTCTTAGTCTCTTATTCCATTAGTCTGAAAATTATTCAGCGATCCAAGTAAGAGCTTAAATATTGTTCTATTTTGAAGTCGAGATTTAAGGGTAAGCCTTAAGTGTGCCTACAATAATACAGCACAAGTTAGGTTTATACGTATCTGTACAATCAAGACCTGAATTTGTTAATTCTGTTAAGTTTTATACCACCTGAAATGTATTAACATTCAGTGACAATGCCAAGTACGGGTATTTCTACATATTCAGAAAACTGAAGCCACACAAGACTTATGTGAAGAGCCTTTGATTGCATGCAGTGGTTGGATAAATATTTTGTCTCAGTAGGAGAGTCTACATCTTTGAGCACACACAAAAAAGAAGTTGAGATTGGCACCTAATATAATGTTAATACGTACCTGAGACTCCACAGTTTTATCTTCCACTGCTCATACCTCTGTCTTCATAGATGGTAATTTCAATCTGCACAGAAAGGTTGTTAGGGAAACATACTATGGAAAGATTATGAAAATAAAAAAAGCGGACAACCACGATAGGAGAACTTTAGTCCTTGTGATTCACACCTGCTGTTTCAAGGCTAGTTTCAGAGCTACAAGACAAATGGAACTGTACGCCTAAGGGTTGTCTCATACAATCAGTCTGTTGATACAGCCCAGGCCTGTTCTGAGAACAAGAATAAAAGATGCCATACATGGAGAGCTTGTGAGCCTTGCCACCTTCTCTTAAAACTCAGGAAAGGCTATGCACCAGACAAAAGTTAATGCTTCTGTGGTTCAGGTCCTAATTCAATAGCCAAACTAAGAATGCTTTTACTCAAATTGAATGGTTTTGCAACTGCAAGGGATTAGGCTTAGCATGCATTTAATTGGCATGCTCTGTTTCAGTTTGCTTTCAGTGTCAATATTGACAAAACATGATGCAGGTAACTCTACCCCTAGATTTGATATAACCTTGCAACTAGTAAGGTAACATCTAGACAAAACGCCTGCACCAGTGGTTCAAGCCCTGAAGTAAAAAGATTCCAATACGCCACACTACATCTAAGAGCAAGCACTGGTTTGGTATGATCAACTTACAGTGATGTGCTATGGCAAAGTTTTCACTAGAACATAGGCTGAGCATTGCAAATGAAGCCACAGCAATCTCTTGCTTTCATGACATCAATTTCAATCCTACCAAGCTGGTCACTTTTTTCCCTGGCCAAATTTCATTTTCAGAGGTCACTGAAGTAGAGGAAGCATCTCATATGTTTGATGTTCTGTTTATACGTACTTCAAGAAAGTCTCAAAGGAGAGATTCTAATACTGTATTTTTGTTGTATTTTATTAAAAAGTCTTCTGATGTGACAAATCTTAAGGTATGAATGTCTGACCAGAGAACAGCACAGAAATGGAGTAAAGAGATTAATGAAGTATTCTGTAGTATTACAGATCAGGGATGACTAGAGGGTGCCACAGTAACAGAGAGAAACGGGTAGTATAGCATGGATGGACGAGTCAGGAGGAGCTTGGAAACCACAGAAGGATACAACTCTTAGCCCTCTTTCAATGGGATCTGTCAGCAGTAGGCCCTGAGGAGCATAGATCTTCTCATTCTGTTCCTGAATGAACTTGGCAATTTTCTTTAGAACCTAGGTAATAGAACAGCCCAAACGTCAGTTTCTTAAATCACGATTCCCTGAAGTAACAGCCCAGCAGAATCACAAACATAACATCAGGACAGCCCAGCATGACAGTGCCAACACGCACCAGAGACAGAACCTGCAAAGTTCCCTGATGCACAGACGATCATTACACTGCTCAGTCTGACCGGAGTCAGTCTGATGTGCACATGAAACAGCCCTGCAGTAAGATCCAGGCCCTAAATGGAATTTGCACAGCAATGGTGCAAGTCACAGAAAACCTACCAGGAAGTAAATATTTAACTGGACGTCCTGCCTTCTAAGCAACACAATGAACAGAAGAAACGCACCTTTTCATAATGTGTTTCCATGCACAAGAAGATAGTATAGGCAGTCAGACAGGCCAGACACCCTTCAAGATAAGATTGGCCCCCAAGTTTTTCAGCTTCTGCATAAAGGTTATTCAGCGTCCGGACAGTCTCTTCAAACTGCTGCCTATCAATCTGCAACAGAAAGTCAAGTTTAGCCATCACACCACACCCTCCGCATTCCAGAACTCACCGATACCTCCAGATATCTGCCTTCATTTATTGCTGTTTGTGCTTCCATGTGTTTTTAGACGCATCACCTACTAACATTTTAAACAGACACTGTGTTTAGAGCCAAAGTCTGGAGGATTCATAGTTACAGGCCAGTAATTCTCTGTTAAATAGCCACCAAACGATTAGAGCCAGTCTGAATTCCAACACAATCTGAATGTAAAGCCATTAAGAGTTAAAAAAAAAAAACAAAACCTACATCAAAGTGCAATTTAAATGAAGGTGGAAAAAAAAAATGGGTTATTTAACACACATACAAAGGTCTGGTAGATTAAGAAGAGCATTTAATAAGTGAATTGATTGAGCTAACTTTTGATGTCAATAATTCCTTGCTGGTCCTGAAATGTTGGGCAAACAAGCCCTCTATAGGACGACATAGAACACGCAAAAAACAATGAACAAAAACAAAGAAAAAAAAACACAAAAAGGGGGAGAAAAGCCATCAGCAAGGCGCAGCTGTTCTGTCACTCGTGCAGACACCCCCTCAGCGCACACGACGCCAAAGGAAGACCCCGGAGATGCTCCTCGTGTGCGGGCACAGCGCCCGCCGAGCCGCTCTGCGCGGTGCCACAAGGCAGGCGTTATTCCCGGGCACACACCGAGCCCGTTCTGCTCCGCTCGCACCGAACGCGGCTGCGCCGGGCGGCCCTGCGGACCGCGCAGCGCCGAGGGGCGGCAGCGGCCGCCTCCCACGCGTTTTCCCCGCCCGTTCCCGTGCCCACCGAGCGGCACCGACCGCACGCCCGGACCCCGACACCCGGCGGCCCCTCCCGAGGCCTCGGCACCGCCCGGCGGGGGACGGGGCCCGGGGACGCCGCCCCCTTCCCCCCCCCCCCCCCGCGGCCCTCACCCGGTTCTCCAGCTCGGCCGGGAACTTGCTCTGGAACTGGCAGCGCGTGCCGCCGCTGTAGTCGCGCTGGATGAACACCTTGCCCGACACCGGCGCCTGCTGCGGCCTCATCGCGCCGCCCGCAGCGAGCCCCCCCCGCCGCTCCCCGCCCCGCTCCGCCCGGCGCCTCCTGCCGCAAAGGCCCGGCCGGGGGCGGGACGAGGGCG